TTGGGAAAATGCACTTTCCCGCCATTTCTGGAAATTGAAAGAATACTTTCATTTTAGTACGTACCGTGGTAATTTGATTGCCAAAGTGTGAGGGAGGCAGTGAAGCCACCATACACCGAAAAGTAAACCTTGCTTTAAGCATCAAAGCTGAGGGTGCCTGGGATGGGAGATGACCGGGTGGAGTAATGTGAGGATAGTCTGATGCAGGAAACTCGTGCTGATGCTTTATGTGGAAAATCTGAGCTTGTTACCTTAAACTGCAAACTGTTCAGGGAAAGATTAAAAATACCATAGGGGGAACTTCGCTTTGTGCTTTGTTCAACAAAAAACTTTAATGTTTCCTCTTCTGGAAGGTTACATTAAAAGTCTAAACTGTTGTGGGAACAACAGCTAGTGCTTCCTGAAGTGTTTTATTGGTGCACAGAGAAAAACAAAAAAGTAGAGATACAGCTTCATTGCTTTTATACGAAGTCTTAGACAAGTTTAAATCCACTTACGGCTGCAGTATCATTTATTCTCAGCTGTAAAGCTTTACAGGAAGCAGTGTTCCTTGTCCTCTTATAGGGCCTTAAAACCTGCTAGCTGGTGTCTGCATCAAATCCCTAACAATAGCAGTTGCAGCAGTGTTGTAACTGGTGGGGTAGGGTAGTTACGCTACCCTCGTATAGTAATGTTAGCTGTCATTAATTACCCATCTGAATTCTTCATGGGCCTGATGGGGAGGGATACAAACTTCTTAACCTATGCTTCTGACTTTTTTAGTTTATATTTCGTTTTATTCTTTAAATCTTAAAGCTCAGCCAAGGAGGAGTCAAAGCTGTTTCTTTGGTGGCATAAAGCCATGCAGTTATCCTTGATCCAAATGGAGCAGGAGGACACCCTTCTGATGGACTCTGTTATTCGGACACTGCTGTCAATCCAGGGCAGGCAGAGTCAGCTGGCTGAGGAGAGACTGACTTCTGGAATACTCGGCGCTATTGGGCTAGGCAGGAGGTCTCCTTTGTCACCCAGGTAAGGGTTGAAGGTGTGGGAAATTAATTGATTTGAGTCGTCATGTGAAAAAAGCGGCAGCCTGGATCCAGACTGTGCACTGCGATGCCAAAAGCTGTTCTGAATCCATGCTGTCCCCAGATCTATATTTTCTTTAGGGACATCAGAACAAAAAAAAAAAAGTGTTTTGTTCTGGTTAAGAAGTCAGTATGAACTTCCAGGTTTGTGGTGGAAAAGGAAAGGAAATGCTGTTGTGATTCTGGCTTAATGTCTTATCTCCAGCAAAGTTTTTAGGGAGTCTGTTAGAGGAAAATACTTTCACCTGGTTTGTAGGAGACTTCTAGTTGACCTGAAGAATTTCGCACGATCGCATGCATGTTGACTATTCCATCTTAACCCTGAGGTACTGGGGATGTTAAGAGAAGCTCAGAGAAATATGTGCTTCCTTGTTACTCACTTCGCCTTCTAAAGAGAGACACCAGCTTTGGATGTTTTATGTTAGAATCAAGTTCACTATGGAAAGAATGCCAAGAAAAAATACATAAATGTTTGTGGAACACCAATTCAGTGCAATACTGAAACATATCTTTGTGTTTATAAAGACTTTCTGGTATGCAATCCTGTTGAGATTGGTGTGAAATCTTAGTCTTGTTCAATTTATCCTTTAATTTGGGTGATAAGAGTGTTTCAAAGACTGTGAAATGAAGGAATATTTCAGATGTGTCCTCAAGGCTTCAGCTAAGCTGGGAACTGATGTAACATTGTGGTGGGCTGACCCTGGCTGGTGGCCAGTTGCCCACCCCAAAGCTGCTGTGTCACTGCCCTCCTCAGCTGGGCAGGGGAGAGACGGTATAACGACAGGCTCGTGGGTCAGACACGGACAGGGAGAGGTCACTCAGCAGTTACTGTCATGGGCAAAACAGACTGAACTTGGGGAAAAAAATTATATTAATTTATTATCAATCAGAATCAGAGTAAAAGGAGAACTAAACCCAAATCTTAAAACACCTTCCCTCCCCCACCCTCTTTCTTCCCAGGCTCAGCTTTGCTCCCCATTTCTCTCTCTCCTCCCTCCCAGCAGCACAGGGCAATGGGGGTTGTGGTCAGTCCATCACACACCATCCCTGCTGCTCCTTCCTCCTCTGGGGAGGATCCTCACCCTCTGCCCCTGCTACAGTGTGGGGTCCTCCCCTGGCTGCAGGGCAGGGCCGGCCTCACCATTGGCTGCACCACCGGCCGACAGG